ACAAAGAGGTTAACAAGAAATATTAAAATAGAAAATCAAATAGAACTGATGGATAAAACTAGTGTTAAGATTGAGAAAAAATTAAAATACTTGGGCATTATTATGACAAATATGAATTGTATGTTATTTCCAAATAATAATATTAAGACATGGAATGAAATTAAGAAGGACATGTTAAGACGGGATAAATTAATACTGTCACTATTGGGGAGAATTTCTGTTATAAAAATAAATGTTTTCCCTAGAATGATATTTTTGTTTTACACAATACCTATATTGACAACTAATGTCAAGCAATGACAAAAAGATATATCTAAATTTGTATGGCAAGGGAAAAAGCCACAAGTTAAATACGAAGTATTACAAAGGTTTTGTAATTTTGCAAAGGAAACCTCTCTCTCTCTAAGATTACGTCATCATTCCCTTCTTTCTCTAACCTATTCTTTCTAATCATCAAAATCATAAGTCACAAAATCATTTTCTTTCCTACACAAACAGTCTATAAGGGGTTTCCAGTCACTGATGAATGCCTATAATGACCTTTCTCTAATCAAAGAAGTCAGTTTGGCCATCTCAGCAAGTTCTGCCAATTTCACCAACCATTCCTCCAAATCCTTCCATCTTTGTGCAGAGAGTAATCTCACCACAGTAATAATTTGTTGAAATAATCTTCTATGAGTCTTTTCTGCTTATCCATAGTCCTAAAAGGAAAAGTTCTGGCTTCAACTGAATATTAATCTTTAAAGTTTTCTCTGCCTCTTTGGATCAATGGTTCCTTACTTTTTTTGACTACCTTTTTCTTTCGACATGCATTATACAGTAACTCTCTCTCATCCTCAGTTTTTGTAGAAATCATTCTGTTACGTGCATTTTCTCTCATCCTCGGTCTCTTTCACTTCATCACTCCACTAAGTGTCTTTTTACATACTTCTCATTCATACCACTTCTATTCAGATCGATTACATTCCTGCAACCCACCTGTAGGAGGTACGTGATTGTTAAATGATTTTAAACAGTTGCTGGTGCTTTAAAAATATGCTGGCCACATAACTACCAGTCCAGCCTTGGAGAAGTTGCCCTCACTCCGCTGTTGCTTCCTCCCTTCCCGCTCAGGTAAAGGATGCTGGGGGCTCTATGACCATCCATGCATTTGGGGCCTACTTCGGACTGATGGTGTCCCGGGTCCTTTTCCGACCCCACCTGGACAAGAGCAGGCCGCGGGAAGGCTCCACCTACCATTCCGACCTCTTTGCTATGATTGGTAAGGCCTCCAAAGAGGCTGCTGGTTTGTTTTTGAAGCTGAAGCTGAAGAGGCTCCAGTGGGTGATGCAAGAATGCCAGGTGGGTGGGGCTCACCAGGTTTTTTCATGATTTTGGTAGAACCAGATGGAGCCTTCCTGTGTAGGTATGGTTTGCTTTAAATGATCTTCAGCCTCTCTTAATGCTCAGGTTACAGCTTCTAGGTGTACTCCATTCAAAAATATTACTGACTTTTAGCAATTATGCCACAAAAATCAGAGGGAGGCATAGGGACTGCAATAAAGGATCTGGGGGTAGATGTCACCTTGGGCCATGAATTATCCACCTCTGGCTTAAGGAGAGTTTCTTCATTTGTTCCTTGTGTTTTGAGACTGCCCAGTAAGCACCTCTCCCTTTCCTTTATAAATGAAATATAAAGGAAAGCAATGTAAAATCTCAATCATAATACCTACCTAAACACAGATTCAGTTCACAAAATGTACTTAACCAGGTCAGTTAAAGCCCCGGGAGATGCATTTGTACAGAACGCAAAATTTGTTCATTTCTCTCTGTGTGTGTAACTCGATACGTTGAACAACCCCAGCCAGTACCTGATGCTTGTGATGCTTATCAAGTTTCATCACTTCAGAAGTGGTGAACTGGGGCTTCCGGGGGAGGCGCAGCGAGCTGAAGACGTCTCTGCGAAAGTGGAGCTGATGACCACGGCAAAGACCAAGAAGCCAGTGAGTAGACCGGTCCCTTGGAACCTCTCCGGTGAGATAAGGAGAAGGTGAGAAATTGCAAGGAGACTGCAGGACGGGGGTTTTCCACCAGTTTGAGCGCTGGGAGACGATGCAATCAGCCATCTTGCTCACAACCACAGCAGAGAGTTTTAAAGGACACTAAGTTCGCAAACCTCACTTTTAACTACTTTCGGAAATTGCCTATTAACTATTCTACAGCTATTAGAGACCTTCAGAACAAGAAGTTTGAAAACACCGGGTGAGTCTGCCTTCAGTCCTGAATGAAAGAAAATTTTAATCATAAGCTTAAGAATTTAAATAATCTTAACTAAACAGCAAAAAATTAAATACGATTTTGATCTTAGAAAGTTATAAACGGACTAAAGGTCCAGATAAAATTGGAATATTGAAATTTTTGCAATAAGATTTTGGAATTAATTA